GGATCCTGGCCATTTAAAAAGGTCATGGAGAGTAATGACTGCAAACAATGTACACTTACAGGTAAATAAGGTGCTAATGCTCCACAGGATTCTGCTACTAACAGTCGTCTCTCTGGATATTTGTGATTGATCTATGGAAGAAAAATCTTTAAAAAATAGCAGTTACTTCTTTTACTTTTTTGTTAATTTTTTCATGCATTTCTCTGTATTTCCCAATTGATCAATAGTAAATCCTATATTAAGAAAAACAGACCAAGAAGTTACTATTTTGCCACAGTCTTCCACTCACAGTTACATTAAGAAAACAACTGTTTTCAGACAAGGGCTGTGTCAAAGACCTAGCATTGAATGTTAGCCAACACACAATGATGTTAAATATTTTCAGAATATTCTTGCAAGCCTATAATTATTAGTGCTGGCCACTATTTGACTTAATGAGTCCTAGCAGATTTAATATATCCCTAACCATCATAACAAAGAACTATTAAGTAATATGTTTGTGTTGATTGTACTGCTGGTACTTGTAACACATTACTTCGAAGTCAATAATCAGCAAAAAATGAACAAACAAAAACCCCTCAAACCCCACCCCCCAAAAGGCTGGATGCTATTACCTGCTCCCAACATTGCGGTAAGAGTTCTGCTTCTACACGTGTTGGTCCAACATGTCGAGCAAATGCTACACACCCAGTAAGAATCATCTGCCTAAAAACAAAATTGAGAACAAAACAATGCATGTAATATATTAGAAGGGGGCATGCTTATGCAACCAACACCTGATAAGAGACAGAAAATACCATTCTGTAAATGGCATCAGAGAGATACTGCTAAAGTTTACTGCCAATCCAAATATGAAACACGATATTTCAGACATGATAATTTCTTTTATAAAGGATATTTCTTCATACTGAAATGCAGTTATCTACTGTATAACATACATGGCATTAGATTTTGTTTAAAACCTTTAGGCTCACACTGTACACTGACGTCCTTACTCTTTTAAAAAAAACTATATTATTGTGTTGTTGGTAGCTATAAGCTCTACAGCAGAGCTTTCCAAATATTTCATGTTGATGGCATACTTTTTAAACATTGACCATTTTGTGACACAGGATTCCATTTTACTGGCAAACCGGGGGTTAAACCAACCTCTTATAAGAGATACGGACACACACACAAATTGTAGTAACAAAATGTAGAGGACACAACATATTTAGAGGTTTCTCATGCTTTACACAACTGCCACTGACATACTAATGTGTCACAACACATACTTTGGAAAGCTCTGCACTAGAGAAAGGCACAAACTTTGGTTTATATTGCTAACTTCTTCAGCTTTGTCAGAAAATTCCTGCATATTTGAACTATTAAATATACGAATGATTTTATTGATTAGCTAGTTGGCCTTATCAAAACAGACAGTGCAAACACAACATACAACATAGATCTAGTCCTCTTAAAAAAGAAATATACAAGTATTTGTCAGCTTGAAACCAATGTTAAATATAACATTTTAGGTCTGAGATCTTTCAGTTTAGATATCACTGTAGAATGAGGAGATAATGGAATATTAATAGCTGAATTCCTGAGGCCAGTTTGCTGGTCCAATGAATGAATGAATGAAACTTTATTTATACCCCACCTTATCTCCCTGAGGGGACTGAGGATGGCTTACAACAAAATACACAATGGCAAACATTCAATGTCAACAGTGTATATCAAAAATCACATCAAAAACAACTCAATAAATAAGTCATGATTAGAACATTCTTTTTTAAAACACATTTTTATAGAGGAATCTAGGTCTTAATTCAAATATACAAGACTGATTGTAGAAGATATGCAAATAGAAGCCTGTTCACACAGGTGGGCTTTCCTGCCCATCTTTTTCACTGAAATCCTTCAAGCAATTGAAAAGCCTCCCTTGATACCACAGTACCCTTAGAAAAGGCCTGGGATGTGCGGGAGAAAATTGGAGATGGGGAAGCACAAATAAATGCACACTAGCTTTCAATTATGAAGAAAACAGGAAGACTGGAAAATGAAAAAATGGCAGTATACTCAGGCGCGGTAAGAACATCCTCCATAATTCAGAAGGATATCTACCACTATTGTTGCTGCCTACTAGCAACAGTCACATGCTCTCTCGACAACAGTTTCATCTCCACCATCGTCATGTATAATTTTAATCTAAAATAGAAAATATGATGCAACCATTGCTAGTTGCTCTCTATGGCTACTCTCTTTTTAGCACCACTCCTACAATATATGGTTAAAGAGAATGAACAAAAAATGGGAATAATTACTGGTGATTTGCAGAGCTATATTGTTCTTACTGGAGTAGACATGGACAAAAAGAAAACAACTGGAAAACAAATATCTCTATGAATTGAAAGGGAGAGAAAGAAAACATAATCTACATCATTTAATAATAATAATAATAATAATAATAATAATAATAATAATAATAATAATAAACTTTATTTATAATCCGTCCTCTCTCCCCAAAGGGATTCAGGGCGGTTTACAAAATAATAAAAATGACAAACATTCAATGCCCTAAAACAGATAACATATAAACAGTAGTCAAAGCAAGGAAAACATGGGATAAAATAAACTCAATATAACATATAAACAACCAAAACAAGGGTTAAACTAAATAAACATAAGTACAAAGAGTCAAACTAATTATTAAAAGCATAATATAATATATAGTTACACACCTTTGCTCATCATCTGGTCTTTTGATCAAGTTGAATAGTATATGTAATAGCTGATCTCTTTCTTTGGGTTCAGGATGGAGGCAAGCTGTACACAATATGAGTGGTATCAATTCCTAAAACGTGTGAGTAGGATGAAAAGGTGAAAAGCTATCAAACAATGGTCAAAATATTGGGAAACATTTAAAACTGTAAAGAAAAATAAAATAGGAAAATTTAGTGAACACAATTTGTGTCTTGATTTTTATTATGAAAACACAAAAGGCTGCGTTTATCTGTAAGTTTCCAGCAGCAAAACAAGGCCATGTTGTAATTGTTTCATTATTTATACGTTTCTTTGCTGAAATTGAAGAAAAGAAATTGGTTTAAGTTTCAACACAAAGTGAAAGCAAAGCAAGGATGGCATATCTTAAGAAATGTTTATTACTGTCACAGTTGTTGTGTGCTTTGAAGTACTCAATGACAATTGTTGAAAAGATTTTCTTAATACTATTATTCCTGCCAGAGAGGTCTGGACTAATTTACAACCTGACTAAATTCAAGTCCTGGATTTTATCTGCTTCCTACCTTCACACTATACACTGTGCCCACAAAAGCAGCAGAAAATTCCAAATAAATGAGTACAGTTCAAGTATGTGTACATTTCAGCAGTTCCTGATCTTTTTCCTACTATACAGCTAATAATCAAAATCTGGGAAAGGCTTAAGTGTCAAAAGTTCTATTTCACTTAACTGTGCTTTAGTTAAGAATAGCACGAAAGATTAGCAAAATACTTTCAAAAGCTGAAGCAATTTTTTTAAGTTCAAATTTTAAGCAAGATGCTACAAATTCCCAAAGGCAACTAGTTTTAAATAATATGGTCAAGCCCCTTTCCTTGAACTTTAAGATCAGTATATAAATTGTACAATCACGCTTGGAAAGTATTATTTTTATACAAGATGATTGGAGATAGGATGCTTCACAGTAAAGAACTGTTTGAATGTCAGCAATGTTGACATTTCAGATTTAATCACATGATAAGAAATGCAAGCAAGGAAAGTTTGAAAAAGCTGACACACAAAAATACCAAAAACACATTTACTGAAAACGCATGGAGTATACACAACATTTTTAAAAATACTAAATTAATAACAGTTCAGTCTCCATTTCAGAATGGAATTGTCTAGGAGACATGAATTCAAAGGTGATTTTAGATTTCAATTGTATTCATTTATTTATGTTAGAGCATGTTGTAGCAGTTATTTGGAAATCTTTGTCAGTTTTTTTTAGTGCTGGCAAAATAATAATATTTTGCTCCCCAAAATTCAGATGGACACAGTGAAGATTAAAGTTGTCATAACTACTGTATTTCTTCAATTGTAAGATGGACTCTAATTTCAGTATTACCGCAATAAAAAATACATAAGCCTATGAAAACTCTATGAAAAACATGGTATCACCGTAAGTTGATAGGCGACTTAAACATACATACACATACTATGTCATGTGGTCTTTTTACCATGTAAAAATTCAAATATGTATGGAAAGGCCTCTGAAATTTGAAAGCCATCTAACTAGATGCGAGACATGACAAAGACATTTACTATCAATGAAAAAGGTAAAATCCAAATTTCCATTTGATGAAACTGAAATGTTATGGCATATTTTCTTTGATTGTAGGTTCTGGGTTTTCCCAGCTTCATTACTAGCTCGATCTCGGTTTCTCTATCTCAACTATATTAATACAAATAATACATAAACTGTGTAAAACCAGAGGAGTTGGGTAATTTTTGTGAAGTTATCCCAGACAATGCAAGTCTTTGCCACCATTGCCTTGTAATGTTACTTTCCCTTTCCCAAGACTATGTATGTTCTGAAAGGAACAACCCTAGATACATCCAACTCGTAGTTAAGAACGG